TATTGTATTTATTATACAAATTATAATATATGATATTTGAACTCATTACGTTTTTTAAACTTCATTATGTTTTTTGTAAACTCTTTGACTTACTAATTTTAAGAAAGAGATAATTAAAATGAAGTTTGTAGTTTCAATTGAATTTAATTTTTTATATTTTAGCGGGTACCCGTGAACCGAACCGTGGTTACCCGCTTTCATATGGTTCGGTTCGGTTCGGTTTTTTTGTCAATACGGTTCGCTTTCGGTTAGTGCGCATGAGGTACCCGCCCCGTGGTCATGGTTCATAATTTTATTACTATCCGAACCGAACTGCCCCGTGAACACCCCTATTATATTCACTGCAGTACCACAATGACACGTAGCCACCACAAAGTGTGGTGGGCACATGCACCCACAGGTTAAAAAAGAAGATCAACTAACCAAAAACTGTGGATAAGATACATCCACAAAATATTAGATATCATATAAAGGGGATAGTAACACAAAAAATAAAAAAAGGGACAACCACAAAATGTTGATAAGATACATCCAATACCATATTTAACACGAAACATCCATACCACGTTTATCATGTAAAATCATCTAGTATAAAATCCATGATAAGAAATATCCCAATATGTTCAAGTGTATGTACTTAATTTAAGTTGAATACCAATTTGAGAAATGAAAGAAAAATACATTAAAAAAAAAAAAAAAAAAAAAACACAATAATCTTTGCCTTTTGAGATTCCAAACATTAACCAGTTTTCAATCTTTCTTTTTTCTTTCGTTCAATCACCATAACCGAAAAGAGATCATTTTTCATACAACCTACCTAAAAACCAATGTCATGTACACCAAAGAACATCTCCGTCTTTGTGTACTGATAGATTTGGAATCACAAAACACATGATCTTAAGAAGAATCAAGAAAACTGATATAAATAACTTCATATTACCACTGCAAAATCAGTCTTGGTATATAGACATAAACACAAGCCTCTATCTATATTATCGGTTTCCACTATCTGAACGCTTAAACCTACTTTATCTTTATTCACACTCAACCCCCTCTTAAGCATTTCCATAAAGCAACCCCACCTGCACACAACCCCATGACCACCAGCACCTTAGGCATATACAACACAGGAATCGAAGCTAATGAAGTCTTAGCTTTACTGTAGAATGACGATTCCTTCGCCTGAATCACATTGGAACCGGAATCTTGATCCACAATTTTTTCATCTGTTGAAATCTCAGCGGGTTCCTTTGCCTGTGCATGCCAGATTCAAATCAACAATAATACAAATCGTTACGAAATTGGAACAAGTGAAAAACAAAAATTGAAAACGCACCTCAGTTGCGCTAGATTCTTCTTCACTGGCGTCCAATTTCATCGGCTTTCGAATGAACCCTAGTTGTAGCTTCTTCTGCAAACGGATTCTTCTGCTCGCAGTTCCTTGGAATGGAATACTAGAAGACGGAACCGGGTTTTCACGAGTTCTTATTACGATTCCGGTTCCAGAACTGTTGTCATCATCATATGCCACATGATCTTCCTCCATAGCCTCTTTATAATCATCAACCTTGATAGATTGCTCTTCATTAAAACACATATTTGTTGGTTGTTCCTGGTTATAAGAGGGCCTTACACATAGTTTCATGTTAACACGAAGTCTTCTGTTTGCAGTTCCTTGGAATGGGAGACCAGGAAGCTTCGCCTTTTTCCAATTCCTTAGTATGATTCCCGTTCCAGCGTTGACGTCATTCCCAGATGCCAATGAATTGCCATTGTTGCTGCATAGTTCGTGTTCTTCCTTGACAAAACTCTTAACTTGGTCTTCAACTGGAGAGAACCAGATGACATTTTCATCAGGATAATTGCCTTGCAATTCATGTGCCATGTGAAATGGCGTCCTGCTGTCCTGCACATATGGTCCATTACCATTTGCATCGTGGACCATTTTGCCCTTTGACTCGCAAATAGATTCAGGCTCTTTAAAACGAGCCATTTCCATAGAAGCTTGAGCAGGGCAAGCATCCTTATAACCGGTATCCTCCAAAGGAAAACGATCTGGTTCAACTAAGACATTATCCAAAAACTCCATGATATCTTTCGCATTTGTCCCATACTGATATTGCATAGGGTTGTCAATTGAAGGGTTACCCAGGTATGAAGATCCAAACTCTACATGCATCTGAGAATGCAAAGGGGAAAAGATCTTTGAATCCAAATGCTCTGGTATAGGATCACAAAGGCCTTGTAAATCAAGATAACCGAGAGGGTCAACACTTGCTTCACCAGTATCTCCGATTTGACCAGTCAATATCGGAGTGACAGGCTCTGAAGGAGGATCCTCGGTGGAAGACTTCACAAGGGAAGGGGAAGAAGCAGTGTTCTGATCAACATCAATGAACTTTGGACTCCCAGGATCGTCATCTTTGCCATCATGTTTCCTGAACAAACGACAAAGCACAAAAGGGCTCTGCAAATAGCAAATCAAAACACGAGTATTTGTTAAAAGATGAAGAAGAATTAATGGCCATTTCAAAACCTAAAAAGTTCACACTCACAGACCTGTCCAGAATGAGTACCATCGAGTTCCTTTTCTGTAGCACAGTATTCATGGATCACCCAATGAGTCCTCTCCCCTTTTGGAGCACGACCAAGATAAAAAACAAGCGTCTTCTTCTTCCCAATCACACGACTCCCCCTTGAAGCCTTAATCGTCCTATCTTTCCCGGTAGCCTTCCAGTACCCAGCTATTGTTGCCCGATTCAATCGCTGCCCGTTCTGATACTTACGATCCTTGGGGCAGAAGAAGAACCATTCATTGTCAATTGATTCAATAACCGATAAATCTGTAAAAAGTTACAGTTCAAACATATTGTCAGCTTATCACCGATAAATCTGTAAAATACACGAAATTTACAAAAGGGCATACCGGGTAAGTCCCAAGGTTCTTTCTTGCAAACGTCGATTTCTCGAATACAAGTTACGTCGTCGTCGTAACCATTGATCTTTAACCGCAGGTAGTGATTGATCAATTCTTCGTCTGTTGGACGGAACCGGTAGCCCACCGGAAGAGCTGGCAAAACATCCATTATATTGCAGTAATCGAACACTAAACCCTAGGATTTTGATGGAGAAGATGGTATAGAAGATTGGAAGAGCTTTTCTTTTCGAGCACCGGAAATATTAATCAATCTGTGAACCTCGGATTTATCGTCAAAACAAAGTGAAAGTGTTTGCAGAGACCGTGCCCCGCCGTTTTGATCGGTGTATATTCCCGATACCCATTTTAGGCATAAATATGAATATTATTTCGGTATTGCCATTTGGTTTTAAAGGGTTGTGGTTGGTGTAGAGTGATGATATTTTTAAAAGAAGTGGTATAAAAAGTGAAAATATGAGAAGAACAGGGGTAGAATCGGAAGAGGAATGCCAAATCTTAATAGCGAAGTTAAAGTCAAAAACGAATCAGAGTATGACACGTAGTCGAGTGTTGACGTGTGCTGTTACGCTATAGAATGACGCTAAGTTTGTTTTGGGGTTAAACTATAATAAGTGCAACTTGTGGGTTTTAATTATTAAAAATTTCAAAAGGAAATCTACGTTCCCACTTATCGCACATCTGCCCCCACGATCTAATCACTTACTAATCGTTTTGTTTTTTAATATATTGTCCGTTTCAAAATAATAATAAAAAAAGCACATGACGCCTTTTTATTACCAAAATCAAAATCAGCAAGGCGTAAAAGAATTGAAGGAGGATTATTTATGTTTGTTTTGTTTGTACCATTTATATTTGTTTGTTTAATAAATTATATTAGTTATGTTTGTTAAATGCTAAATGAACATAAATAAGCAAGCACGTAAGTGATAGCCTTCTCAATATTTAGTGGGCCCCATCATTATATCAAGCAATAAATAAAAAACTATCATGAGTGATGGCATTTTTAATATATAGTGGGTCACGTAGCTGTATCAACCAATAAAAAAAATTAAACCAATCGCTAATTTAAACATTTTGGTGGGATTATATATATATATATATATATATATATATATATATATATATATATATATATATATATATATATATATATATATATATATATTAATTTTAATTTATGAATAAGCTTTATCAAAAAGTGTTTCTAGTATGAAGGTATTTAAGTTTTTTATTTGGTTGATGTGGCATGATATTTTATTGAGTTGGCATTAAAAAAGGTTAGCGTTTTTTTTTTTAATTGTGGATGCTCTTACACGATTTATAATATTGTCATATACCATAACCTTAACAAGTAACAACTCTATACAATAGAAGGAAGTAAGAACTACCCTATTAACAAACATATCTCAAAAGTTTCACAAATATTTACAACTCATACTTAAGCTACATTGTATAAGAGTCGTAATTTTTTTAGAATAACATATCACCTTAAAGTTAAAAATTGTAAGATTCGAAAAAACAGACTCACTTTGAAATGCATAATACACACCCAAATTTTTTTTTTGAAACGGCAAATATAACCTACTCCTAAACTACACCTAAAATCCACCTATGTCCACGACGGAACTTGAACCCTCAACCTCAAGTAGGAAGGGTAACACCGGATACCGCTGGACTACAAGTCCTTTGGTAATACACACCCAAATGATTGTCATTAAATCGCCTTGATCTGTTTATTATCAAATAATTAAGTTATATTGTTTAAGATTTAGTAATTATGTAACAAACTATTTTCATAATTTCATATACTGATTTTAAAATATACCAAAACAGTTTAAATTGGATAGGATTGTACTTATTATAGTTGCAAATGGCTGGGGGGTTTGCCTATGTATCAGGGAATCCACAAACACATCTCATCATTAATTACACACAAACACAAAGGCTCCAATTCATGCATACCTTGCCCTGCATCTTTTGTGTTTATATATAAATATAACACACAAACACACACATACCATAATGGTCCATTCCACCCACCTCACCTAACCAACTTCATTCCATGAGAATGGATCATGAGGAACTGAGCAACAACTTAAAGAAGAAGAGAAGGGAGAGAGTGAGTTTTTCAGCAAGTTTGCCAGAAGATATTCATGGGATGTTTGCAGACAGTGATTGTGCAGTTAAGTACTCTTCTGATCCATTCAACGAAATTCGAAAATCGATAGTAAAGATGATTCAGTACGTTAAAGTTCAAGATTGGAATGATATTGAGGAGTTGATCTATTGTTATATCGCTCTCAACTCCCCAGATGTTCATATCTACATTACAGATGCTTTCCTCAGCTTATCCACTCCAAGATTCACCAAACGTCGCAACTAACACTAATCGGTGTTAGTGTTGTGGTTTCTGTATTTCTGAATTTATATATTTCTTCTTGCTTTTTGCAAGTTAAAATTAAAAGAAGGCTAGCTAGCTATAGCCATCATGTACTTGAAGTCTTTATATATTTAGTTCGGTTCGGACCAGCCACACTAATATCATCTTTTATATATTTAGTTCGGTTCGGACCAACCACATTAATATCATCTTTTGCCATTATCTTCTATAAGAATTCTATATCAATATTCTTTCAAAATTGGTCTTCACTCAACTACTTTATACATCTTTTTAATAGTGTAAAGTTTCAAAATACTCATTCAGAAATTAATATTAACACATCAGTTTGTTATTTAATTAACAAAATATGTATATACATGTAGTTAAATGTTTTTTACGATTCAATGATAACAAAAAATTTACAATAAGATGTTTCTAATATAAATATATAATTGTATTTTATAAATAAATCAATATCATTAATAACTATATATATCATAGGCAAACATAAGTTATACGATTATTTCAAATTAGACAAACATTTTATATCATTAATATATATATATATATATATATATATATATATATATATATATATAAAAGCCTTTGGCAAACTAAAAATCATATTTGAATGATCTAAAGGCTTAGCAAACTAAAAATATAAGTTATGTCACTAAAACATATTTAAGCTTAAAAATCAGTTTTTTACAGAAAATTTGTGGTTGGTTCATCGACTGTTTTTCCCTGCTTAACCTTCGTATATTTCAAAACTGTTCAATATGAAAATAATTCATGTTTATACCTTTTTAAGGACTATTAGCACGCATTTATACGATTTTTCTACAATTTATGGTGATTTTTACAAAATTGTCTATCATTTTAGAACATTTTCGGACCAGTCTATTGTTGGATTAGTGTCTAAGTCTATAACTATTTTGGTATGTACTTGACCCGATGGTGCATGGTCCTTTTGGGTTGCCTTCACCAAAGCAACTTGATTGGAGAAATAAATAAAGAGAGAAAGCTTATTATGATTTATTAATATGTTATAAGAATAATATATTAAAGGAGAAATCATATTTGTTTAATTAATATTGGTCAATAATTAATTAGGAATTAATTTTGTGATCAAGTGTAATTAATTAAACTAGAGGGGCTGATTTGTAATTATGTGATAGTTACAAAATAAGGTAAGGATTATCTTAAATATAGGGTGAACGAATTTGAGGTGATAAGGCCTTAGAATTCGACTATGATAAGGATTCAAGGATTATCTTATGGGTTGCTTTGTGGATAAGCAACTAGATAAGGATAATGACTGAAACCCTATCTCTACACCTATATAAACATCCCTTGGCTCATGAATTCGTGTATCCCTTCCAAAGGAGTCCTAAGGACGAATTCTAACCTCTCTCCTCTCTCTTTATACCTTCTCCATTTGCTCTTGGTGTTTGTAAGCCATTAGAGGAGTGACACTTGTGACTCTAAGCCTTCCAAAGTTATTACAAGGAGATTTGGGATTGTTATTGCTACATAACAATCAAGGTATGATCTTAAACCTAATTACATATTAATATGATTACTTGAATACTAGAATTAGGGTTTATAGTCTTGGATTCAAAGCATGTACAATAGAGAAGCCTAGATCCAAGCATTAGGGTTTGTATGAGCACATAGGATGTCTTATGACCAAAACCCATCAGTGGTATCAGAGCCTAGGATGGTTTCAATTGTATTGATGCATTGTATACCTAAAAAATTCGATTTTTGATGTTTTAGAGGCTGGACTTGCCGAGTCCATAGTGGAACTCACCGAGTCTAGGGTGACTCGACGAGTCAACTCGTCAGATAGTGCTTATCTCGGGATTTCTTGATGTTTTTGCATATGGATAGTTACCTTATCATGTTAGATCAATATTAATCCGATTATATGATATATTTGACTATATTTTTGATCTAAATGAAGATATTTATCAATTAATAAGATAATTGTTTCCTTATAAGATCATTGATTAATTATTTTGAGTAAATTGATAAATTGTTTTGCAAGAAATCATTAAATAAATAAAATATGGATAATTATGTGATTAAATGTTAATTTAAAATTATTTGTTATTTGATCCTTGTTGTTATGAAAAGTTTCATATTTTCCCCTTTAGGTTTTATAGTTTAAATTTGAACCCAAAAGTTATGAAGTTTTGAAATTTAAATAGTTAAAACCCTCATGTTTTGAAAAAGGTTTCAAAACTTGCCCTCAAGTTTTGAAATTTAAAAGTTGATTAAAAGTTTAATTAGGAATGTTAAATTCTAAAACCCTATTAATGTTTTGAAAAGTTCAATTTACACCCTTATGGTTTTATTAATTACTTAAGGAGTATAATTAAAAGAGATTTAATAAATCCATAAAATTTTAGGTTAACCATTTAATTGAATTAAAAGTGTAATTGTTAAAGTTAACCACATAGTATTTTAAAAGTGTAAAATGCACCCTATACTATATATAACATTAAAAGTATAACATTATATATGTATGAGTAAAAGTCAGTCTTACCGTTAGTAGGCCTCATTCACGAAGCTGGTCTATAAGGGGTGTTTAAGGAAATTGTCTATAAAATGGCGATTGAATGGGTATCCACTCTTACCCACCGCACTCTTGACTAGTGGAGGGTCGTTAGCCAAACGGGTATGATAGGACGAAACCTTCCATTATAATTATAATGAATTACTAAAGTAACTAAATGTTTTTCAAAATTCTCAATCTTAGTTACTTAGTAAAAGTGAATTGATGCAACTCCATGAAATTACACTTTGTGCCCTTGCGAAGACGTTAGTGGAGCGTGTATGGTTAACCGGCACACTAAATGGTTCTAAGCAAAGGTAGCAAAGGGTGACTCAATGTTTGTCATAGTTCGGTGGAGCGTGTGTGGTTTACCGGCACATCGAATAGGTGACTGTAACATGTGAGGGCACCATGTAAGTTTGCGTGGTTATTCACACCCGCTTTGTTATCCTCGGCATCCCAATCACAAACAAGAGGGGCATATCGAGATTTAAACATGCCATTGAAAGTTCAATGAATCTCAAAGGATCTAGGAGTTTTCATAGATTTAAAAACTTAAATTTCTTTTTCGTTTTTCGTGGTGGAAATTAGTGAATCATCATTCACTTACCTTCAAATATTATGCAATTAGGGTTACGCCATCCCTCTCCCGAGTTGTAGAATATTGTGTTGGGTCCTAGCCTTAGTATTTCATTTGGGTGATTTACTAAGGACTCAATCGATCAACTAACTTGAATTTGTTTCTCCCGTTTTGTAGATGTCAAAGTTTGACAACTTTGGTCTTCCCAAACCCCGTGGAACAAGCATTCCACATGAAGATGATATTCCACGATTCGATCGAGGAACAAGAAATCATGCTTCACTTCCTCCTCCTCCTCCAATTATTCTCCCTAACCCACAAGATTGTAAAATTGAAAGGTTCAATATCACTCAAGCCCTTTTGGCAAGTAAACATAATAAAGGAAAGTCGGTGTGTGCACACATCCTAGGGATGAAGTCACACATTGATAGACTAAGAATGATGGGATCCGTTGTTGGTGAAGAGATGGTTGTTGATTCGGTTCTTCAGTCACTTCCTAACTCGTATAGTGAGTTCGTAAGAGAGTACTATATGATGAATCACGACGTGACCCTTATTGATCTCACCTATATGCTTATTGCTGCTGAATTAGCAATGGTTTGGCGCAATAGAAAAGCAAAGTTGATTGGTGAATCTACCTTCAAGACCTATATGGATATAGACAATGGCAATGAAAGACATGCAATGATCGAAAAGTTTGATCATAAGAGAAAGGCGATGTCTGAAGTAGTTCCATGTGTTGTTCCAAAATAGTCAATTTGCTTTTATTGCTAAGAGAAGGGGCATTGGAGACGAAGTTGCCCTATTTACCTAAGAGATCTAAGAGATGGGAGAGAAAAAGTATGACTACGCTTCAGGTAAAATCCATTATCTAACTCCATTAATTTCCTATTCATTGATTCTTAATACATGATGTGATAAGATTGCATTTGAATGTTTTGAAGGATCGGTGAAAAGAAAGGAAGCTTGATAAGAGAGCAAGATGAATCTAATCACAAGAGATGGATTTTGATCGCATGGACTTGAAGATTGGATTTTGAGCTTAGATAGTTATGATAGAGTTGTTAGAAATTTTCCTTTTACATAGTTTTCAATAGATTTCTCATTGTAAGGACAAATGTTTTTCCGCTGCTTTTATAAATAAAATAAATTTTGTTTGACTTATTTATTTATTTGTTTACTTCCTTGCACTGAAATCGTTATGAAAATTGATGTTTGCGTATTTCTACAACAAATGGATATGATTCTTAGTTATGTTATTTATGGAAATGTCGAAAATTTACCAAATAGGGAGAGTTTCTCATTGCCCAAATTTCAATTGGACTGAAATTTAGAATCACGCAACTTGGTTGCATGATGAATGAGAAATTTCATATTTGGAAATTAGACAAATTCGTTGACAAAGTGTCAAGTGAAGGACTAGGAGATCAAGTACACAAAGTTGTGTGTTGATCAAGTTCACCATAAGAGTAACAAAGATATTCGTCATGATTTACTAAAGGTTTGGTAAATATGATTATACTTACAAGATTAAGTGTAATTCTGAATTGATTGATGGGTTTAGATCAATAGTAGAACGAATAAGAAGAATCAAGTAGGCAGAAAGATAAAAGTTTCTCCATTCTAAGAAGAAGGGAGAGTAGCTTTTATGCTTTATGATAGATCTTAATGATTAAGAACCATATCTCAATTGATTCTCTAAGTGAGTCTTAGTACAATTGTATGTTTAAGAAGAGGAATCAAGGATTGAAGAAATGGTTAAATCAAGAAGTCTATCATACTTCGTTGCAATAACAAGTCTTAAAGTTAAGATTGTGACAATGAGTGATAAGTATTAAAGGTTTATAACATTCATCAAATGTG